AAAATTTCTCTTTGGTCAAACTTATTCCTTCCATGATTCTAAAAATTTGATGGGTTATAAGTGTTGAAGCCTATTTAAATAAGTGTGTTATAGTTTGGAAGAGAAAAGCAAAGGAATTGAGAAGCTTCGCATGGCCGCAAACAACTTCGGACCGTGAACCCTCGGTTCACGGTTGTAAACGAAGCTCCAACCGTGACCAACTTCGGAGCCATAAACATGCCTCGCAATCGTAAACTCGTCGGATCTTATCGCCTTGGAAACCGCCTTCGGACCGTAAACGCTAGCTGACCTCAGACCACAAACGAGGTCGCGGTCGTAAACCCCACCCGGTTGTGAACCCTCTCATATATATTTGAGTGTTAACTATTTTCATCACATTTTCTTATCTTCTAGCTGTGATCATTTCAAATCTCTCTCAAGTATCATCTTCCAAACCTTCAAATCTTCTTAGATTATTGTTTGGATCTTCAAGGTATTCTTCATTCCTTCAAGAACACGAAGAACACACACAAATGTCCATCCTAAAACACTTGAATCTTCAACATCCTTCAAGAACAGTTGGACGTGAACTAAAGAACACTTGGTGTTCTTGGGCCGTAAACACCTCCAGGTGGTCGTGAACCCCATTTCAGCCTCCTAAATTGCTTTTAACACACTTTTTCTGAGTAATTATAGCATCCTAGGTTTTTTCCTAAACACCTTTGTAGTTATATTCACTAACTATATACATATACATGTCATAATATACTAAATAGGACTCGTTTGTGCTTCTGTCACACCCCCAAACCAAGGATGGCGGAAACGTCTGGGGGTGGAGGACTTCATGTACAGTATCACAACAACGTGTATAATAGTGCTCAAAGTAAAAACAACCACCATATATATAATTGCAAAAGTTACACCAAAGTATATGTTTACATGTTTCAAAAGCAATTACATTATGATGACAAAATAATTTGTTGACGGTTTAGCGTCCCATCCTCAAAGCGATGAAGTTTTCCTGTTTCACTGATTTCCTGAGAATACAAGTAGTTTTAAAGAGTGTCAACACAAAGGTTGGTGAGTTCATAAGAGTTTTGTTTGAAGTAGAAACCGTTTTTCCTTGTAAAATCGATTTAGTTTGATTTCCAGAAAATCCAATATTTTCTTAGTTAAGTATGAATAGAAATAATCCTACATGATGTTGTAATGAACCCTAGAGTAATCCATAGAGTTCCTCTATAATCGTCCAACATATAAAGTTATATAAGGCTTAACTTAGATAAAACGTTGAATATAGTGGGTCTGCCCTAGGTCCACAACCCAACGAGGAACAGGAGATGAGGCGGGCACCACCAATTCTAGGCCAATCAAGACTAAATTCTTATATGACTCAACATATACGCTCAGCGACTATAGTTGAAGTCTAACAATTTTAGAGGAAGTGTAGTTTTAATATCATAATAGCTTTGTATAGAGACCCGGCACTTTGTATTTGTACCCCTTTTTGTATAGAGACCCGGTACTTTGTATTTGTACCCATAGAGATAAAAGGTGATTTTAAATCGACATAAAACTCATTTAGGTTTTAAAAATAAAATCCCGTAAACTTATGGATTGTTCCCTATGTGAGCCGTTATAATCATACTATGACTATGTGAACCTGCCACGACGTTCTCAGTGTCGCGAAAAATGAAATGACATTTGTCACCCGTAGACCTGCAGGTCCAACTGTAGCTAGCAGCAAGGTGTGGGGTGTCAATCCCAATATAGATCTATATACAAGTATCACGTTCTCCCTCAAGGAGATTCTGATTATAACTACCAGGAATTATATCCCGCACTCGGACGTACGGGGAGAGAGAGAGAGAGAGAGAGAGAGAGAAAAATAGAGAAACTCACAATATAGGATAACAAGTTTACGTGAAATGTGTGTGTATATAAATATTTCTTGTATGAATGTACCCTTCTTGTACGAGTGCGTAGAGTGATGTATCATAAACTATACCTATTATAGTTTATCTAAAATGTATGTACTATGTATGAACTCCTTTATGGAAAAGTATTAGTGTTGTGAATTTATTGAACCATAGCTTAATAAATTTACGTGAAATGTGTGCGAATAGAAATCTTTCTTGTATGAATGTACCCTTCTTGTACGAGTGCGTAGAGTGATGTATCATAAACTATACCTATTATAGTTTATCTAAAATGTATGTACTATGTATGAACTCCTTTATGGAAAAGTATTAGTGTTGTGAATTTATTGACTATACTTTTTATAGTTTAATAGCACGTGTTCCAAAATGAATGAATAATATTTAATATGAATGTTTTAGTTTCAGTTCATAATGATAAACTAGCAAGGAAACACATTCAAATATTAGAACTTATGATTATACACTTTGCTCAACATAATACAAAGTGTTATGATATTTACATGCTGTTGGCAAAATTTAGCAATTCTGCCCTGTTTTGGAAAAATCATAGAAAAATCATACGAAGTCGAAAACTAGATCCGTAATTTCTGAGAGTTCACAAAATGTGTCTAGTTTGCTCATAATTTTTATCACAATTTATAATGACCTCTAACTTGGGTGAATAAGTCCATAATCACAGACTGGTCCGGATTGTTGTTTGAAATGATAGGCAGTTTTGTAAAAATCACCATAAATTGTAGAAAAATCGTATGGAGATGTGCAAGTAGCCATTTTAAAGCTAAAAACTTGAACTATTTGCACCTTGTACAGTTTTGAAAACAAAAGTGTTTAAGATGCCCAAAACAGTCCGTGAATGGAGTTGAACTTTTCTGATGAAGGCTGTTAGAAAAATTTAGATATGTTCTTAGTGTTTTAACTTGTATTCCCCCCCTGAAAACTTGAGAAAACATGAAAATGTAGGGGTATGAACTCACCTTAAGTGATTCCAGTAGGTAAGTGTTGAAGAAGGAAAGTGTTCAACCCAAGAACACTTGAAGAATCACTTGAAGATTCGAAGATCTAACACAATTATGAGAGAGTTTGTCTAAGATATCCATGATTTGAGTGGAAATAAATGAGATAATCATAAAGAGAATGGATTATGCTTACCAAATGTGGAGGAAAAACTCAAGATCAGCCCTTGAATCTCGAATTTCTAGAGAGAGAAAGTGAGAGAGGAAAGAGTTTGATCTTCTTGTGAAATGAGAGCAAATGAGAGAAGTGAGGAGAGAGGATGAATAATCAGCCCTCAAAAACATGGGGAGGAGGGATAATTGAGTGGAAAAAACATTTATGTGACCTAGGTAAGGTGGAGAGGTGTGGTTAGTCAAAGAGTGGGTGTGGGGTGGTTGCTTGTGACTTTGGATAAGGCAAAGTCAACACTCCACCTTTAATAATTCATCCATTTGATTTTTATTATTTAAATAATGATTTTCATCAAAATATGTTTAAATTATGAATATTTAGAGTTTATTATGTTAAAATATAATTTCTGGAGAAAATCCCGCTTTAAAATCACGAAAAACGGGCTTAAAATGTTAAAAATATCAAAAATGGGCTAAAAATGACACATGCGAATTTCTGGCCGAGGCTCGGCCTCTTATGCTGAACCGAGAGAGAGAGGGAGGTGGAAACCGAGAGAAGAAGAAGAGAGAAGGAAGGAGCCGAGAGGGGAGAAGGGAGAGGGTAGGAACCGAGAGGTGGGAGGGGACAGAGAGGCGCGCGAGACAGAGAGTGAGAAGGAGAACAGAGAGGCGAAGCGGAGCAGAGAGTGGGACGCGGACAGGGAGTGGGACGCGAACAGAGAGCGAGTAGCGAACAGAGAGCGAGACAGCGAACAGAGCGTGTAGCGAACAGAGAGCGAGACAGCGAACAGAGCGTGGGACGGACCGAGAGGGACCGACCGCTCGGTTGTGAACAGTACTCTCGGTTCCGGTTCTTGCTTCTTGGGTTCGGTCTCGGTTCTCTTAGCCACCAGAGGCTCGGTTGGTGAATAGTAGCTTCGGTTCTCTTAGCCACCAGAGCCTCGGTTGGTCCTAAGAAGCCTCTCATTCCGGTTTCGGTTCCTAAAGCCTATTTTTCTCGTTTTCGCCCCGTTTTAAGCCGTTTTTGACCCGGTTAAGGGCCGGAATGACCCGACTGATTCCAAAAAGTTACGGGAAACTTTTGAGAGAGATTTGGGAGAGATTTCTCACACTTGGAGAGATTTGGGAGAGATTTGACATTCTTGGAGAGATTTCTCATACAGAGAGATATTTGGGAGAGATTTCACATACGTGGAGAGATTTGGGAGAGATTTGACATTCTTGGAGAGATTTCTCATACAGAGAGATATTTGGGAGAGATTTCACATACGTGGAGAGATTTGGGAGAGATTTGACATTCTTGGAGAGATTTATCATACAAAGAGATATTTGAGAGAGGTTTCACATACTTAGAGGGATTTGGGAGAGATTTGACATTCTTGGAGAGATTTCTCATACAGAGAGATATTTGGGAGAGATTTCACACACTTGGAGCGATTAGGGAGAGATTTGACATAGTCAGAGATAGAGTGAAAACGATTGAGAGGGGATCCATGTGTGACAATTGTGAGTGTCCGGCATCGCAATGCATGGTTCGTAAACCCTGTTAAGCCTTGTTTAAGGATCTTACACACTCCCGATGAGTATGCATCATTGTTTTATCAGTTTGGCTCGCCACGTAGTACAGTTTTTAGGTTAAAGAGATCTAGTTGTACGTACTTTTCGATTCATGTTTTCTTATTAGAGTAGCGACTTGTTTAGTAAATACTGAGCGTAAGTCCAAGCACACACGGGTTAGTGGAGCTGACCGGTTTGACTTGTTGACTTTATTTGACTTTGAATTGACCAGAATATGACGGTTGTCACAGCTTCGTGGTTTCACTCGGGAAATTTACCAATCTATACCAACTTTCTTGCCCAGCTTCAACTTGATAATCCTTTCAGATTTCTTGCTCCTGATTTTCTTCAACAGGGTTGCAAGTGGTGTTTCTCTAGCCTCCTGTTCTTGCACCTGAACCTAACTAGGTTCTCTGTTTGCTGATGAATCAAACTCCAAAGGAGTGAGTTCCACCTCATCATAGTCTTGTTGCACATGCACCTCATTGACTGCTTCTCCACCATTATTTATTGCTCCTCCATCATTTCCTGTTTGATCACCCTCATTCACTTCATCACCTTCATTCATTACATTAGCTTGATTACCTTCATCATCCTCATTAAATTCTTCAGCTACACCCTGATTGACCAATATGAAACATTAATAGAAATTTAAAAAGAAATTGTAAAGATTAACCATTTAAATACTTATTTACCTATTTTTTTCTACTAGCTTTGGTTTTAGGAGGCCTTGTTAAAGTACAAGCTCTTTGGTTTTAGGAGGCCTTGTTAAAGTACAAAGGCTACATTTTTTATTTTTCCCAGCCTTGGATACCTTCACCTTCTCCTTACCTTTGTTTTGTGTTTGCATAGTTTTCTTTTATTTTTTACTTAATTGGTTTGGCCTTTCTGTTTCATCCCTTTTCCTTTTAGTTGCAGGTCTCTCAGGCATAGTTCTGCGAATAGGAGGTAAAGGTGGGGTGTAATCAGTAGCAGGCCACAAATTACTTCCATTCATAGGTGCTAACCTAAACTTGTATACCTTCATGTAAGTGATGCTACTAAATATTCTGTCCACATATGACTCTACATCCATATTCATAAAACTAATAACTGTAATAGAATGGATCCTCGTTACAGGATGTGGTTTTCACATTTGTTCTGATTTGCAGGGTCTAAGAAGAATTAGGGATGTGGAGCATGGGAAGATAAACTTGATCATGTGGAATAGGAAAGCGTCGTCTGTCACCAAGATTGGAGTTTACTCTCTAGTGCTTAGTAGCGGTTTAGGTTTAGATTTGAATAATTTTTGTTACTCGTCATAAATGACAAGAAACATTATTTCTTTTCATCGTTTATATAAAAAAGGTTTTAGATTTTTGTTTGATAATGAAAAATCTTCTATTAATGCTTTCTTTAATGGTTCTATCTATTTTGAAGCATTTCCTTGTAATGGAATATATGAAACTGTGATGGTTGTAGACAACATAGGAAATGATGTGTTATATATCAATTCTTCTAATAGTTTGGACAAAACATTCTTGTGGCATTTCCTCTTGGACATGTGAACAAGAAACGTATAGCCCAACTCCAAATGGATGGAGTGTTGGAGTCATTCAACCTTAGGGATGATGACGTGTACGAGTCTTGTTTGTTTGGAAAGATGACCTAGTCACCCTTCACTTGCACTTCTTCAAGGGGGGAGGGTTTATTGGATCACATACACACTGATGTGTGTGGGTCCTTTAGATCCACAACAAGGGATACAAGCCGCTTCTATGTGACTTTCACCAACGATTATAGCAAATATGGGTGTATCTACTTAATCAATCACAAGTCAAAAACCTTTGAAAAGTTTAAAGAGTTGAAGCAAGAAGTGGATAATCAGTTGTGCGGTAAAATTAAGATGCTCCAATCTGATCGAGGTGGTGAGTACCTTAGTCTTGAATTTCATGACTACCTTAAGGAATGTAGAATAGTTTCGCAATTGACACCACTAGGACACTGCAGTTGAATGGTGTGGTTGAGTGGCGCAATCAAACTTTTTTGGACATGGTTCATTCCATGATGAGTCATGCTTTGTTACCTATCTCATTTTGTGGGTATGCTATAGAGACTGCTACCCATATCCTTAATCTAGTCCCTACTAAGAAGGTTGTGAAAAAACCTCACGATATGTGAATAGGGAAAGCTCCCTCAATGGCACATATCAAGGTTTGGGGTTGTGAGGCTTTCGTAAGACGAGAGACTCACGATAAGGTCAAAACTCATAGTGAGCGGTGTATTTTTCTCGGATACCTGTAAAATTCCTTTGGATATCTCTTCTATATACCAAGTGACAATGTTGTCTTCATTGAGAGGATAGGGTTTTCCGAGAGCGAGAACTCATAAGCCAAGAGGACAGTAGGAGGAAAATTCATCTTGGAGAGCTTCAAGAGTCAATCGATGAAGGAACCTCTAATGCTAGCGTTCAATCCGAGGAGGAAACTCATGTTGAACCGATTGATGAGTCCCTACCTCTTAGATGTTCCAGTAGAGTTAGTGTTCCACATATGTTATATTGTTTTCATATAACAAGTGAAGTGATACGTTTGTTAGTGGTAGTACACTATTAAATTTCGATGAACCTAACAACTACAAGGAAGCCATGGCAGGTCTGGAATCTACAAAGTAGAAAGAGGCTATGGAAAGCAAGTTTCAGTCCATGTATGACAATCAAGTTTGGAACTTGGTTGACAATGAACTGGTTCGTAAGACGATCGGGTGCAAATGGATCTTCAAGAAGAAGACCAACATGGGTAGCAAAGTACATACTTATAACGCACGATTAGTTGCGAAGGGCTTTACTCAAACTCCTGGAGTTGAGTATGATGAGACCTTCTCACCAGTAGTGAAGATAAAGTCTACAACGGTTATGCTAGCCATAGCTACATTTCATGATTATGAAATATGGCAGATGGATGTCAAAATCGCTTTCCTTAATGGGAAGTTAGCTGAAGATGTTTACATGAGTCAACCGGTGGATTTTGTCGATGCAAAACACCCTAATAGAGTGTCTAAGCTTGAGAAATCCATCTGTGGATTGAAACAAGCGTCTCGCAGATGGAATCTCTGTTTCGATGAGAAAGTCAAAGAGTTTGGTTTCTTGCGAATGGAGGATGAGATCTTTGTATATGTTAAATCCATTGGGAGTATAGTTAGATTTCTCGTTTTGTATGTTGATGACATACTTCTCATAGGAAACGACACCCCAACCCTGCAGGAGGTTAAGTCTTGGCTTGGGAAGTACTTCGCTATGAAGGACCTCAGAGAAGCAACTTATATTCTTGGGATAAGGATAGTGAGAAAAAGGAGTAAAAGACTAATACGACTTAGTCAAAGTACTTCCTTGGATAAGGTACTAAATCGTTTTTGTGACAACCCAGAATTTCCATTATGTACAAACAATAGCACTTCAATAGAAGTTATATCACTCACATTAAACTTTCAGACTTTCCCGTAAAAGTTTGAGTAATTTAGGGTTTACACATCAGGAAATATCAGGAGAGTGGATGCACTAGGGTTTTGTGCAACACTGTTATTCCAACACTCTATTATATTACAGATCATTTCGGGAATAAAATATTTTCTGCAAAAAATCTCAGAACTATAAACAGAATTATGAACCAATTTCATTCATTATTCACATTTTCAACTAGAGAAAAGCCATTTTCTCTCTCACGGATCTTCGGGTTTTTATCCCAAATCACGAGTACCTCTCTCTAGTAGTGTTATATAACTTAAAATGTGTTCATAACATAGATTACATATCTAAATAACTAGATTTAGGAGTTTACTCCCCAAGGTGTTCTTGGGCGGTAAACTCCCGAAACAATGCCTAGCCTTTCCCCCGTGATATGCTACTACCTTAGACTCGTATATGGGGTATTTGGGACATGAAAACAACAAAGAATCACCAAGTTTTGGGTGTTCACGACCCAAGAAGATCTTGGACCGTGAACTCCAAAATCATGGAGCAAAGTATGTTTTTAGGATACGTAAAGCCTTAGACATTTACTAGGAATTGTTTCCACTTAAATGATGGACCAAAACACATCAAAAACACCCCTCAAAGTGACTTCACGGCCCTAATGAGGTTCTTGGGCCGTGAACATCAAACAAAGGCACCAAAGTGTGCCTAAGGCCTTCATATGCTTGGGATAAAAGTCTAAGACCTACACTACATGTGCAAGAGACTTGAAAGCATCAAAAACACCATTCCAAGGGAGTCTACGGCATTAAACTCCAAAGGAAATGGCCTTAGGGCCATAAACTCCTCTAAGGAGTGTTTCTATGCCTTAAACCCTTCCAAGAATTAAACCACCAAGTTGGAATACTTCTAGGGATCTTTTAGAACCTCAAAACACAAAATAAAACCAAGTTTAGGAGTTCATGGCCATAAACTCAAGAGTTTACGACCGTAAAATCCATGTGTGGGATTATATGGAGAGTAAAGTCAAGTATGAGGTCCTTTGGAACCCTAAACTCATTTTCCTTGTCCCACAACAACTTAGATGCAATCCTTAGGGCTTATAACACTTATATAAAGTGTTTATCATGTTCTAGGATGTCTTAACATTTACAATTAGTAATTTAATACTAATTGGGTGCATATGTGTATGATTATATGTTCATTAGGATCATAGTGTGTGTACAAGTCCTCACTTGACACCTAGCAATCCGATACCGTTCAGTGCGTCCAAACCACCATATACAGGTGAGTTCATACCCCTAAATGAATATTTTAAATGTTTTTAAATGCTTTAATGGGGGGGATACAAGTAGAAAACAACATGTTATTAAATCACTCATATGTATTTTATAACTGTGTATTCATCCAGCAGATTTCACATACTACAAAATGTGATGCATGAAATGGTTTTCCATCTTAAAATACCTTGATAAAAAAAGTATTAGTTGTGAAATGTTTATTAACATGACATCAAGTCACTCTTAATTATTATTCAAAACTCTTAGATACCTTACAAAACCATTACGTTTACCTTCTTGAACAAACAATTGCCTTTCAGTTAATTATCATAGGAATAGTTAGAAGATACAAAACAATATTCCCATTACAAGGAATCACAAAAGAATCAGGTCATTCATGAGTCTATACTAGTACATTACATGATAATTAAGTACATTTATCTAGGATTACATGATACATGCGTACATTTATCTAGGATTAAATGATACATAAGTATGTTTTCATAGATACATTTATCTGAATACGCTTACATGAATACCATACATGAGTACTGCTACATAGATACATTATCCTGTATTCACTTACCTAGATACTTGTACCTAGAGTTATGAGGAAGATTTATTCATACCTTCTGTGTAAAGTTTCCTACCTATCCCTATTCTATGGGATGTTTAGACGGGATAAACCATTCTGGAACCAGCTATTAGCAACACTGGGTGATGAACATCTATGGATGTCTAAGGTTATCACTTATAATAGGTGGATCGATATCGGAACTAACCATTCCTCCATCCTGCTGTTGCAACAGAGGATGAGATGAAAATCTTCGGATGATCATTAGGTTACCACTTATATTAGGATTCGGCTACGGGACTAACCCTTCCTCGAACCTTCTGCTACTACAGAGTACAATTGGATAATATTCGGATGTTCATTAGATTGTACATATCGCTTACTGCGATGGCATGTAAGTCCTGGAATCCAGGGATAACACTTACATCGTTATATTTTTCCAATTTACTTTATTTTGTGATATATTTACATAAACGATGAGTTAGACCAATTACCATTTGTAGTAGTCAAAAAGAAAGAAAAACTATCATTTTACTTACAAAACATTCGGGTCTTGGTAGAAGACTACATTGTCATGAAAAAACATTCGAGTCTTGCTAGAAGACTACATTGTCATAACAAAACATTCGGGTCTTGGTAGAAGACTACATTGTCATAACAAAACATTCGAGTCTTGGTAGAAGACTACATTTTCATAACAAAACATTCAGGTCTTGGTAGAAGACTACATTTTCATAACAAAACATTCAGGTCTTGGTAGAAGACTACATTTCATACTAGTAGGAAATAAGGGATTTCTTAGGGTTTTTCTTACTTATATCAACTTTCTTACTTAAAGGTTTTACATGACATTCATAACAATTTTTCAAAGCAAGACAATGACACTTAAATACTTATGAATTCACCAGCTTTAAAGCTGATACTCTCTTTCAAAATAACTTGTATTCTCAGGTCACCAGTAGACAGGTACGATGGCCAGGTTTTGAGAAGACGGAGCACAGATAAGTCTCGTCTTTTATTTTGATTGTATATTTTTGGTGTCTTATTACAATGAAAGAAAACACACGTATTAAAACTTTACTTATAATGAAATGGATGATGTTGTTGCTTATTTACTACTTTACAATGTTGTCATACTGTACATGACGTCCTCCATCCCGGAACGTTTCCGCCATTCTTGGTTTTGGGGTGTGACAGTTTTAGTATAGAAATTTCCAAGAAAGGGGAGTTACCAATACAAAGCAATACCAAATTGAGTAAGGCTCAAAGCCCAAGTACCGAACCTGAGATAGAAGAAATGATTCGAGTACCTTACACTTCTGTAGTTGGCTCGATCATGTATGTTGTGACTTGTACTCACTCTGATGTGGCCTTGGCTTTGATCCTAGCCAACAAATATCAAGGGAACCCTGGTAGATCACATTAGACCACAGTAAAGAACATTCTTAAGTACCTTCGGATGACTAAGGAATGGTTTGTTATCCTCGGTGGGAGTGATAACTTAAGGCTGCAAGGGTATAGTGACGTCAGCTTTCAGACCGACCGAGACAACTTCCGCTCTTAGTTGGGATGGGTCTTTACCCTTAATGGAGGAGCAGTGACTTGGAAAAGCTCCAAGTAGGAAACTATAGCTGATTCAACATGCGAAGTAGAGTACATAGCAGCAAGTGAAGTGTCGAAGGATGCAATATGGTTGAAGAACTTCATCAGAGACATTAGAGTTATACCAACCATAAAGGAGCCTATGGGGATTTTCTGTGATGACGAAGGCGCGGGTGCCTTAAGCAAGGAACCGATGGATCATGGCAGATCTAGACATATTGATAGGAAATATCACTTCATTAGACATCGGGTAGAACATGGACTCCTCGTAGTGAAGTGGGTATTATCAGATGATAACCCGATAGTTCCCCTTACAATGGGAATGAGTAATGTTATGCACTTGATCATGCTAGGAGCATTGGGCTAAAGGACGATATTAGTTTAAGTAATTAGATAGCTTTAGAAACTTCTAATAGATAAATTGTAATTAACATTTGATGATTAAACAAATGAGTGTTATTTATGAGTAAAGTTACTGTCTTGCTTTAATTATTTACTATTGTTTCACTTTGCATGTTTTGACTTCATAAATAATGAGATTATTTAAACTGTCCATAGTCGATCATACTTTGGAAGTGGGAAGACTGTCATAAATTTGCTTTTAGATTGTCAAAGTATTTAGACATAACAAAGGTTCGTTGCAACGTTCATGAGTGCTCTTGAAATAAGATTTGAGTATTGGATTAAACCCGCACTCACTTAAATCACTTCATGGAATTAATCACGAGTGATTATGAGACGATAATATCATATAGTCTTTAAACCTAGATATATGGTTTATTGTTTGCAAGTTGGTTATGCATTGATAATGCGTAAAAGCATCAGTAACTTGAAGTTATAAAATGCATTGTTGTGTATGATTTGATGAGTAAATAGTAAATGCATATAAGTTAAAGTCTATTTGTTCCTTTTATCCTACGAGGTTAAAAGTGATATTTTGGGCCCCTCAATGATTTGGTTTGACTTATGTGTCGAGACTGGTTAGGACTAAGTTGATGTGTTCAATTAAGTTTTATGTTAGAAGAATCATAGATCGAGAAACAAACTGCTGGACAATCAGTATCAGTATGTTCCATGTGATTTTCCACATGATATATTGAGAACGAAGGACTATATGATCCCTTATCTAAAGAACGTGTCAGAGTTGGACAACGGATTTTGAAAGCTACGATTGCTAATCGGATTTTGAAGTTGTACTTTCATCTATAGTTATTAGACTTATCCAAGTGGGAGACTGTTGGATTAGGTGTCTAAGCTCATAAGTATATTTGGTATGTTCTTGACCCGGTTGTAGCATGGTCCTTTTGGGGTTCCTTCATCATAGCAACTTGACTGAATGATTAATGGTGAAAAAGATTATTATGGTTTATTAATATATTATATGAATAATATATTAAAAGACAAATTATATTGGTTAATTAATACCGGTCAAGAATTAATTTTGTGGTCACACGATATTAATTGAACTTGGGGGACTTGAGTTGCAATTATAAGATAATTGGATTTTGGGTTGTGGATCCTTTATGAATGCGTGGACGAAATCAAGGGGGAAGCCCACATTGCTTTTGTCCAAGGCCTTGTTCTGGGTGGTTCATGTGGACTGCTTAAGGTCTAAGCAATCTAATTAGGGTTTTGACTGAAACCCTAGCAGCTCACCTATATAAAGGACCATAAAGCTTCATAATTTGGCTACCACATGAACCCTAGAGACCTACAGCTGATTTTGAGCCTCATTCCCCTCTCTCTAAGATCATCCAACTTGCTTTGGTGTTTGTGATCGATTAGAGGTATTACACTTGTGATACTAAAGCTCACAAAGGTTTAAGATTCTTGCTATAGTTGAAAGGTAATCATCTAAACTTGTTTTTGTTATTGTTTTTTCTTTTTGTATGCCAGTAATAGGGGTAATAAGCTTTGGATGATTTGCATGTACAATTAGAGAAGCCTAGATCCAAAGCTTTAAGGTTTGCATGTGCACCAGAGGATTGATGAAATTCTCAAAACCCATCACGCTCGACCGGAGTTTCTAGGGTAGGGATAGGTGTGGTAGAGGACTCCCCTACCTCGAAGCACGAGCTGATATCCTCCTCCAATCTCCAAGCACTAATCTGGTGCATTCATGTGTAGTCCCCACATTGTTTTTTCGTTGGCGGTGGTGATGTTGGTGGGGATGCTGCTCTCTTCCGATAGGGGATAGCATTAGTCTTTTCTTGGGGTTTGTTTCACCCGAGTACTAGTATTGTGTGCTGTGAAAAATCAATGTGAAGGAGATGGGCAGGGTGGTGATATCTCCAGCGAGGTGGAATATCTTCCTCATCCACATCTAACTCATAATCTGAGCTGAGAAGCTCAAGTCCAGCTGGTGTGTAGACTGGTTAATGAATAGGCTTAGAAGGGTCCAATCTGAAATTACCATCTGGAGTGTAATTAGGCTCGGATGGGTGCTCAGCTGGAGTATAGTCAGGATCGGTGTCATCACTACCTTTCATAGGCGCCTCGTCAGAAGCCACGATCATTCCTGGGATATCGGTAGGGTTAGATGTTGTACTCCACGATCCAGTACATGCCTGAATCCCGAGCAAACCTTCATAAGACATGAAATAGGAAGGATTTTTGTGAGAGATGTGAAGATCAATTAAATACAATATAGTATCGAATTATAAGTATGTAATAGATAGTACCCGTAACTTCACACTTTCCCTAATATATCATAGCTCATGAATAGTGGTTCCTAAGCTAGTAATCCTTAAGTATAGATGTCTCAAATTCCAAAAGATCCTTGAGTGTGGGTGTCTCTAAGCCAGAAATACTCAAACATAGAAATCCTTAAAAAAGAAGTCTCCAAGTATAGAATCCTTGAAATATACATCCAATCCAGAAGTCCTCAAGCATTTAGATTGCCAACCACCGTATATGAGTTCGGTCGTGCCTCGGTCATACTACAATAAAACTTAGTTGTGCATTCTAGGTCTTTTTGTAGTACGACCATTGTACTATACCAAATGTAAACAATGTTTTTGACCTAAAGTCTTGAGTTGTGATTTTGTGCACTCATGTTTGAGGGTAGTAAATATCTTTTTGTGAGTGTATTTATATTGCTCTATATCTTTAAATCTTCGTTAGGGGGTGTATATTTTATTATTTTTTGGGTTTTTATACTCCAAGACTATCAAATAATGATCATCCAGATGAAAAGTACCCGAGGGATAACCATTTTAGCATAAAGCCGTTCTGAAATCCAATAACACAAGCAATAGTTGAAACTAGTCCCATCTCCCGTAAGCAGTTTAGAAGTAGTGTAATTAATAATAATACTTTTTAATATATTAGGCTTATGGGTTAAACCTAATTAGGGTGTATGCCTAGATTATAGTTGTATTTCCTATGCAATTACTAATTTGTTATAATCTGAAGTTCTGATACCAATCTGTCACACCCCCAGCCAGCGGCAGAAACATCGGGTTGTGCAACGTTAGAATATTGGATTTTAGGCCACATACATACATTGAATAATACACTGATATATTAAACAACGTCACTTTTTATTCATTAAATAAAATATATTACAAAGTTGTTCGAGGTACAAATAGGTCACAAAAGCAAAGTGCAATAGTAAAGCAGCTAGACTTTGTGCTGCATCACCGGGGTTACTTGTTACAACTGAAAGGATTCCGTCACTGACCACCATTATACGAGAGTACGAAAATAGATGTAAAAACTTAATATTGTAATATTTGATTTATGAGATAATAAAAATAAAATATGATGTTACATTTATAGTTAAATCGACTATTAGGCTAAAAATTAAGCGCCCAAAAAAGTTGTACCATCTTCTAAGTTGGTTAACATATTTGGAGTTAAATCAAATATGATGTTACATTTATATGATGTTACATTTATAGTTAAATCGACTCGCTAACTTGATCTCAAGGATATAAGATTCGTAAAAATATGACTCCAAATGAAAGATTTGTGAATTTTATTTAAATAAAAATCAACCGCGTATTTAAAGTTAATTACGCTAAAACGGTACTTAAAAATCAACCACGTATTTAAAGTTAATTACGTCAAAATGGTACTTAGAGATTGGTTGAGTTTTGACTAAAAGTACAAAAAAAAGATTTTTATTTATCCTTGAGATATAAAATTTATGACAAAGAATGTCGAAAACGGGATCCGTAGTAGAGAGGTATAATTTTTGTAAAAACATTTTTTTTACACCCATTTGGAACAAAAAATGAAAGTCAAAACTAGCAAAAACAACCTAAAAGAGAGTTGTAATACTCTTTGAGATCATTACATAGATATATAGAGGGTTTAGATCGGAGCTAGCACAGAAGAGTTATGATCTTTACAAAAATCATTTCGTGTGCACGAGGTATATGCCTATGCCCATCGTGCACCTAACATTGGATTCGCGAAGATTACGAGAGACATTGCAAAGTAGGGAGGTGACACGCGACAATCTCTAGATGGAGCCATGATCACGCGTGACGCGCATAGATCATTGCACCCTGTTCACCCCAAATCCATTCGTATAAATAGAAGGTAGTGCATAACCATTTATGCACACCATTCGAAGTCACTCTCTCTCAACTCTCGAAGCTTCTGCACCCTTGGAGAGGTCCCCAGAGTCCCAAGCCCAATTAAACCGAACATCAGTAGTCTCAAGCATTAAGGGTGAGTTCACGAGCCCATATCACTATTTTAATGGTTTACCGGGGGGGGGGGGGGGTGGAGGGCAATACCTGCTTATCAAACTACTTTTTTTTAAATATATTTATATCTATCTATATCTATAGTTATATAAAGCATGAAACATTAGGATAATGTAACCATAGATACTAAAGCTACTTGTAAGCTATGATATTATGTCTAAGAGTTATGATGTTCGATTATAGGAAGAGATATTACCTAGATGTTAGTCAATTCCCTAGGATAACCTAGTACCTAGAAGTAATACTGATGAACTATAGGGATATGCACTGTATCTTATCATTACTTTTCCCAAATATCTTGTTTCAAAATACCTAAGGTTAATGCGTTAGTCAACTGTTATTATTCATCCTTAGCCTGATTATATTCGGCTACCCCGAACCTATAATAGTTAATCTTGCGAGAGCCAGAAAGATATGTATAGATCTATATGCGGTTTGATACCCCCACGTATGAGTGCTAGTAACAATTTCGACATGATAACTTTATTTATTATACAAGCACTATTCGATGTCCAATAAAGCATTGTGCGGGGAAATTATTAGTCTACAACGTCGATTATGTGGGCTCTTGTTAATACATTCCAATAACCTTAGAGATCCGACAACCTAGAGGGACGCCTTCGAGTAGTTAATAGAATAATTTAGGGTTAATAAGATATCCTAAGATATAAGATAACAAGATATGATCGGTAAAATATCCTACAAAGATAGTAAGATATGATCGGTAAAATAAGTTAAAGTCGGTAAAATTACTTTTTTTAGGTGGTATCCTAATAGTAGCCTAAGATAGTTATTTTCGGTTTAACCTAGTTATTCTAGGATTTATTCTTTGATTTGAGAGTACTAGCACTACTTGCCTGGATTATTTCCTAGTCGTTAGTCTAATATAGTTAGATTTAGTTTAACTTAGTTATTTTGGGCTTTCTTTTTCGAGTTGGGAGCACTATCACTACTTGCCTGCATTATTCCCTAGTAGTAGTCTAAGATAGTTAGATTTAGTTTAGCAATATTACAATTAGTTCCTATAACTGAGCTATGACTGTTGAGTGTTCCCCAAAAACCACGACGCTTCATCCGGCGTAGCAAATGTGTTTAGAAAGTTATGTCTGCTTTGACGTTTCGTTATGTTGTAGCTAGCAACCATATGTGTTAGTTTCAATACTGTATATATATATATATATATATGTATATATATATATGTGTGTGTGTGTGTGTATGTATGTATGTATATATATATATACATATACATACATATATATATATATATATATATATATATATATACATATCTTTCCTACTCACTTAAGAATTAACAATAATGGGTCTGGGGTTAGCTAAAAGTCTTTCAGTGTGTTGATGAATCGTGTCTCATCTAACTCTTGTTTTGGGGGCCTACCCTGGTCGGTCGTGTTGTTATTATTTGTTTTATTTATACAAATTACTTATTATGTACATTATTTATCTTATACATATATAATCAAGTTAGTGTGTTTTGTTTAGCCAAATATTTGGGCAGAGTAACCACTAGGTACAAGCTTATCCAAAGGGTGGCTATAATAACAACTAGAGTATCGGTGTTGTAACACCCCGTTCTTTAAGTGTTTAATTATGAGTCCCTGAGATTTAAGAGGAAGGGTAATTCTGGTCCTTTTTCAAGAAATAAGTTTCATCCGAGAAACTTTCGGGCTGGTGTATGTGTTAGAAGCATTTGGGCTTCTCGTCACCCCCGTATGAATGTAAAGTTATTTGGGAGTGGGTTTAGATTAGAGGAGTTGCAGTATTTTGAAGTTGATCATTGTTAACAGCTCCTTGTGGTATAAGTGGATAAAGGTGCCCATGTATGCATGGCATGCATGCAATTATTGGTGAAGTTTGGCTGGGTACGCCTAACGTAAGCTGGACGTATGCTCAGTGTAGAGGGGCGAAAAGTTGCAGGTGGCCGGGTGAGTACGCCCAACGTACCAGGGAGGTACACCCAGCGTACTCTCAGAAACTGCAAACCTTATTTTAGGGTCAGCCACTATCTAAGGAAGATGTTGGTTCACCCCTCAGCCTCCATATGCTCATCCTCAACCTCAGAGAAACCCTAGATCTCCTATTCTCTCCATATTTGGTTGTGTTTGACCTTGGAAAGCTCTTGTTGGCAAAAGAAAGGCTTGAAGGAGAAAAGGGAAGTTGTCAAAGAAGAAGAAGAACGTGTGGAGCTTGTAGATCTGAAGAGATACCATCCTTTGGAGCGTGTTTGAGGTATAAAGCTTCTTGCTTGACCTTCATATTGCATAGATCTATGTATTTTGAAGCTTTGTCACCATTCTTGTCCCAAAAGTCCTCACCTTGTTGCATATTTCGATTTGGTCAGGATTATCTGTCCTTTCAGCCTTTGGAGAGGTCTTGAGTGATAAAAATGAGGTCCCAAGGGCTGTAGTTGTTCCATGTATGAGATATATAGGTCTTAATGGATTAAGACCTTGGATTAAGAGCTTAAGGATGTCCCAAGTGATAAAGTCAGAGACTTTATGAATTCTAATCATATTTGGCCTATGGGTCTGAAGTTTGGGCTTAAGAGCTTAAGCCATTAAAGGGTTAAAAAGGACTTAATGAGCATTGCAGTTACGCCCCGTGTAACCTCTGAGTACGCCCTGCGTAGCGGGCCAAAGCCCCGATCCTCATTTGCGTTTCATTGAAGTACGCCCAGCGTACTCCTCCTGTTGGACTTTCATTTTTGGGCTTTGAGTTTGGGCCGTTGATGGACAATTGGTTATTGGGCCAAGTCTGGGAATTTATGGATAGAGTATTTTAGGCCCAATTATTGTTATGGACATTGGTTCTAGGCCCATTTGGTGAAGTGGCCCCAATTTGGTAAATTGGGCCAATGTTGA